AATATTTGTATTTCTGAGCCTGGTTATGTTGCCTAACAATAACTTCTTATTCTATACATTATCCTGCAATGTCATGTTATGTTTTCTTTTTCCTAATGTTTAAAATTCCATTCTGTATACTGACCACACTTTCTATCTCTTCATGAGATGGTCGTCCATCTCAGCTGGTTCAATTTTCTGGTAACTGTGAATAGTGCATCAATGAACACGGGTGTGCAAGAATCTCTTCGATATGTTGACTTTGAGCCTTTTCAGTATAAGCCCAAGAATTGTATAGCTAGGTCCAACCGTAGGTCTATATTTAGGTTTTCAAGAAATCTCTCAGTGGCCAGTATTGTGAGATAAATCTGGAGTAAGTTCCTAGAAAACTTGTAATGGATAGATTTTACTGTGAATATGGGAGTCTGAAACATTTTATTTCTAAAGATCCAACTATTTGAACATTGTGAAAAGTATAAAGAACAGCCTATAATTCATCACAAAGATTTAATACTTAACATTTTACTGTATTTATTTCACCCATTCCTGTGTTTTTGTCTCTAACCATTTGAAGTCTAAGTACAGATATGATACTTAACTTGAAAATATTTTATCTTTCCACAAAGTATACTTTTTCCCATATAAGAATATCCCATTATTCATTCCAACCCAAACAACATTAGTGCTCTATAACAATTAACACCTAATTCATTAGCGCTACTATAATTCAATAGCAAGCCTCCACCCTAAAGGGCTGCTGTGTTGCAGGCATATTAGTGGCCATTAGTGACACTATTGAGAACTGTTTGGCCCATGAGATTTCTAATCCCATAAGTGTGGATGAGTTCAGAGCTGAAGATGGGAAGAAGGGCTTAGTTGGAAGAAGCTTCTCAAAGCATGTCTTGATCCTGGCTCTTTTCTTTCCTTTATTTCTTACTGACTGTAAGAAGGTCAGCAACTGTACTCCACGACGTGGCCCTGTACCTCATCATGGCTCGGAACTGTAGACTAAAACCTCTGAAACTGTGAGCTTAAACAAAAGTTTCCCCATTAAGCTATTTATATCAGGTATTTTGCCAAGGTAAATAAAATCTAAAACAGTGGGGAAAAAAAAGCTTTGTTAAATTTTATTGAAGATATGTAGCTATTGTTAAGTCAATGATAACCAAGCTATAATCTGTAGAACCGCAGAGGGTAGGTATAGAGTAAAGGACTAGAGCTGTGCTTCTCAACCTTCCTAATGCTGTGACCTTTTATTTCAGTTCCTCATGGGGTGACACCAAACATAACATTATTTTGTTGCTACCTCATAACTGTAATTTTACTGCTGTGACGAACTGTAAGTACCTGATATGCAGGATATCTGATATGCAACCCCTTTGAAAGGTTCATTTGAAACCCCACAGGTTGATAAACACTGGACTAAGTGAAGAGATTGACCTCCTTAGGAATTGAAAATTGAAGAGATAGTTATGGATGAATTGGGGGCTGGGAAAGGAAGATCAATTGGGGAGAGAGGAGAAGAAGTTGTGGAAGTGAATATGGGGAGAGACATATAAAATTTAGGGCAATTTAAGGGGTAATATAGAAAATTTATACAATAGAAAAGCCATATATATATATATATATATATATATATATATACATATATATACACATATATACACACACAAACATATATATATATACATATATATGTGTATATATATATATACATATATATATTTGAAGCTAATCTAAATGGATTTGAAAAATAATGGAAGAGACTGAATCTCAACTGGCCATTTCATGTCACCAAAGGAAGCTTCCGCAACTGGGATTGGGTTACATTTAATTGAATTGTTGCCCTAAGAGCCCCCACAGGAATTCCAAAACAACCCAGGCTAGTCCCGTGACTTTAGTTTGGTCTCCATAAACTGAGAGCTAGGCCTCATTGCAAAAGACAGCACTGTCACCTCTCATTGACCATGGAAATGTTCTAGCTGGTGCCTGGGTAAAACCTCACCCTAATTGCTAACCTCTTTGGTACAGGAAGGTAGTTGGCACAAGACCAAAAAAGAAACAGAAACTTGAACCCAGCTACAAACCCTTCAATCTACAGTGATATATTGCCTGAAAGATATGCTAGGGCAATGGTAGCACAAAACTTATGAGAGTAGCCAACCAATACCTGATTTGACTTAAGGCTCCCTCCCGGCGATAAAATCCGTACCTGACACTGCTTGGGTGACCAAAAATGAAACACTAAATAACCCAGGTACCCAGGGGAAAGCCGGATAATATTGGTCTAAAAAAAAGGAAGAAAAGTGTAATCATGAAATGACTCTTAATGATATTCTGCTATAGTCATAGATTCGTGCCTTGTTCAGCCATTGTCACAGAAATCTCCTCGTGTGGCAGATGGAAACAAATATATAGGCCCACAGCTAGATATTATGCAGAAAACAAGAAACATTGGAATATCCAGTCCTCCAAGGAATGTCTCCATGAAAGCCCTTCCCTTACAGCTCAGGGAACTCTGCAGAAGACGAGGAAGAAATAGTATAAGAATCATAGACACCAAGAAAACAAGGCCTTTGCAACCAACCTGAGCAATGCGTATATGAACTCACAGAGGCTGAAGCAGCCTGCACGGGTTTCCATTAGATCATTTGCTTACATTATGGCTTCCAGTTTAATGTTATTATGGAATCCTCGAGTGTGCAAGTGATTGGGTCTCTGATTCTTATGCCTTCTTTTGGGCTTTTCTGTTTTTTGCCTTGTCCAAATTTGATGGGATACTTTTTGTTTTACCTTACAGTATTTAATTTTGTTGTATTTTTTTTAAATGGATGAAAACCTAGCCAGTAGAGTAAGGTTAACAATTGACCTGTCATTTACACCTGCTGGGAGAGAGAAAAATCAATGGAGTGACTACACGGGGAATATCAGCCACTCCAAGGCAGGCCTCATGTTCAGGAGTAGTTGACCAACGTATAATATATAATGGACTTTCTTTTTTTTAATTTTGTGTGGGGTGGGGAGTGCATGCGTGGATGAGTGAGTGCATGCGTGCGTGCGTGCGTGCGTGTGTGTGTGTGTGTGTGTGTGTGTGTGTGAGAGAGAGAGAGAGAGAGTGTGTGTGTGTGTGTTTATTGTGTTTATTTATTAGAATTTGGTGGTTTGTTTTCTTTTTGAATGTTGTTTTATTTTATTTTCTTATTTGGAGGGGTTTGTTGTTTTATTGGGGTTTTATTCTTTCTGAGAAAGTTGGGTGTATAGGAAGAGAGAGAAGACTTTAAAGAACCCGGTAAGGAAAACAACAATAAAATATATTTAAATTTAAAATTATTTTAAATAATAAAATATAATATTAAAGAAAAAAGGTATATAACCATATGCTATTAATAAACATTTACCAGAGTTGGAAAGTTTAAATCAAATCATTTCATATTGTAACTAAAGAAAAGCCAGTTCACCAATATTAGATTTAAAATTGGTATCAAATATCACAAAATGATAATATTTTACTTGCTAGAAATACTTCATTTATCTACTAATAACAGTAAAGACCAGAATATCATAGTACCTTTAGAAATTTATCTCTTGATTGATAACTGAAAAAAAAAGGGACTATTTCTCACATGAACTCAATGGCTAGCTCCTCGATCCCCCCGCCCCCACGAGGGAGGAGCAGCCTTGCTAGGTCACAGAAGAGGACATTGCAGCCAGTCCTGAAGAGACCTGATAAGATAGGGTCAGATGGAAGGGGAGGAGGTCCTCCCCTATCAGTGGACTTGGAAAGGGGCAGGGAGGAGATGAGGGAGGGAGGGTGCAATTTGGAGGGAATGAGGAAGGGGGCTACAGCTGGGATACAAAGTAAATAACTTATGGTTAATATAAAAAATAAAAATTATTATATAAAAAGTAAAATCTGCAGTGATTTAGAAAATTTAATAATGTAATTGATAAACTGGTCCAATATTTATACAACTCTGAAATCAACATTTAAGAGCTTCTTTTCAAGTACATATGAAGTACTCTTCCATGGTACAAAGATTCTTCAAAACATTCTGTAGGTGTGCAAATACATGTATTGCTAATCAACTTTCCATCACTACCTTACATCTTATTATCAGAAAACCAAAAGGAAAGCACAACAGCCAAAACAATTAACTTTCAAGATGACACAAACTAACAATAGCTGAAATACCACCTTTACCACCTGATAGAAAAATGTGAAGAAGGAAACATAGAATCGAGGGAAGAGCAGTCCTGCTGGGCCACAGAGGAGGACTTTGCAGCCAGTCCAAGATACCTGATAAGCTAGGGTCAGATGAAAGGGGAGGAGCCCCCCCCCCCAATTCAGTGGACTTGGAAATGGGCAGGGAGAAGATGAGGGAGGGGGGGTGGGATTGGGAGGGAATGAGGGAGCAGAATACAGCTGGGATACAAAGTTAATAAACTGTAACTAATATTGAATAATAAAAATTTAATTAAAGAAAAAGAAAAGATAGAATCTGCTTGTAACATTGTTAAAACATCTGTGTTTAAATAGTAGGAATCTCAGAAACTTTCTATAGCACATGCCTATCTGTTATTACACTGTATAGTGCTAGGACATTAGACAATTCTAGTCCATGTCCAGAGGCAGTTTTCATTCGTGGTATTTTTTTCATGTCACTATCTTGCCTTTTTTCTAGTCCCTCACCCACAGCCCCAGGTAATCATGAGTTCCCCATCTGAGATAACGAAAGCCTTCATATTACCCACTTCTTCATTCAGACTTATTCTTAGAATGTTCATTAAACAATCTGAAACATGAAAATGCATTTTTCTTGGCTCTTTCCTCTGTGGTGAATAAAGATGTTGGCTATCTTTCTGAGCGAACAACCCGAGTCCAGCTACTGCAGGTTCATTGTTGAGTATAGCAGCCATCAGCTCTGCTGCCTCCTTCCCCAAGAAGTAGCAGCAAAGGTTTTCCCTGTTTTTATTATTTTCACAGAGGTAGCTAATATCTACAGAAAACAGGTAGAACTCACGTTAGTGAAAGTTTCTCCAGAGGTGTAAAGATTCTGAGATCGTCTACAGGGTAAGACTCAAAGCTTCTTTCCTCCTTCTGTTCTCCCTTTTCTTCTTCTTAGAGTGTGTTGGGCCAGAGGCAGTTGGTGTGTGTGTGTAAGAAGATAAGCTAATAAATCTCTTGGGAACCAGAGAATGTAATCTACAGAAATTCTAAGATTGGACTCACTACATAGACTGAGCCTTGCTGGGCGTGTCAGCCTGTGCTGTTTTGTGGGTAGAGGAATAGAAAAAACAGTGAGAAATTGAACCAAACAGTGTGCACAGCTTTCGATTTCCTCTGATACTCAAATGCAACTGTTTCTTCCTGTGTATCTTTCAGTTTCTGTAACAAGGTGGAGACAGTTACACTCCATTGTTGTTTTTTTTTTTTTTTTCCTTACAAATCCTATTAAGTACAAGATTCAAATTTAAGTGCTCTATATCCAAGAAACTTCCAAGTGAGTCATTAGGAATCTACTGATCTTACTACTTTGAATGGAATAATTGCAAAACATAGGTTGGGGCTGGAAAGCAGAGTATATCTTTATGTAAACATTAGGGTGATACAGACCAGATCTTACCTACTATATTCAGATAGATTTGGAACTGTTATTTCATCTTCATGGTATGGCATACAGAAAATATGTAAGTGAAATTCAGGTTAATTGTACTTACTGGTCCCTGCCCTTAACTATGATGAAAAAGACATACTTTGCTGTGGTATTTGTCTATTTTGTATATTTATACTACAACTACATAGACAGAGTTTACAAGAAACAGGAATTCATTCCTACAGTTCTGGAGGTTTGGAAACTATTTGATGATGCTTTGTGCTGTATACCTGTTAAGAGTGGTTGGGGCCTGGGTAGAGTGTTTCTTAGACGTTATCATCTTAATTAAAATAAAGGCTCACATAGATTGCAAAGTAGCAGGAAAACCTTCCGCAAAGCAAAGCAATAGCACAGATGGGAAAGCAATATGATGTCAGGAAGAATAATGGGGCTGTATTTGTGCAGAAATACAGCTGTCCCAATTTTTGTTTGGGGATTACTTTTATAGAATTTAAGAGAAGTAGAAGACTGTTGCTCAAAGGCCAAGCATGGCTGGTTCTGTACTTTGATAGATTTGAATTAGGTAGGCATGGTGATTTGAACAACATTGACCCTAATAGGCTCATATAATTGAATGCGTGGTCCCAAGTTAGTGGAACTGTTTGGGAAGACTTAGGAGGTGTGGTTATTTTGGAGTAGGTGTAGCCTTGTTGGAGGAGATGTGTCACTACAGTTAGGCTTTGGGGTTTCAAAAGTCCATGACAGCCCCAGTCTTGCTATCTCTCTGCTTCCATTTTGCAGATCAAATACAAGCTGTCAACTACTGCTCCAGTGCCATGCCTGCATTCCTGCTCTATGCTTCCCACCCAGTGAACATGAAGCAAGTCCCCAGTTAACTCCTTTTCTCCTAAGTTCCCTTGATCATTAAATCTCTCCACAGCACAAGAGCACTGTAACTCGTCTTTTCTACTTTATGAGTTCCCACTTTGCCCCCCTCTTATTTTACCCCCTAACACTAGAAAGAAGGATAAAGGGAGAAAGGGAGAGGAAGAGGGAGAAGGAAGAGAGACAGGTCCCTAAATCTAATTTCTTTCCCAACAGTTCCTCCCAGTTTCCAGCCTAGCCTTCAAATGTTTCTACCAACTGTTCCTCCCTTAGTTCCCCCAACAGTCTACTTAAACAGTCCCTTCTCCCAGTTTTCCCGATACTAGCAGCTCCAAACTTAGAACAACTGTTCTAGCCTATCTGCTCAACTCAGCTTCTCATGGCTCAACTGTCTCCTAACAATATCTTCTGTCTCAAGTGCCTTCTCACTCTACTGGTCCAATCCCCTTCTCAGCCTCAGCTGGCCTTTTAATATTCTCTTCTATTCCTAAAAATCTAAGAGGAAACCAACACTGAAGGTCATACAGTCAAACAGTTCCAACAGCTAAGAAATTTTTTTTATTTTGATCTTTTTGAATTTAATTTTTAAAATTTTTTTATTAATTACAGTTTATTCATTTTGTATCCCAGTTATAGCCCCCTTTCTCATTCCCTCACAATCCCACCCTCCTTACCTCTTCTCCTCTTATGCCCCTCTCTAAGTCCACTGATAGGGGGGGTCCTCTTCCCCTTCCCTTTGACCCTAGCCTATCAGGTCTCATCAGGACTGGCTGCATTGTCTTCCTCTGTGGCCTTGTAAGGCTACTCACCCCTTATGGGGGGGTGATCAAAGAGCCAGCCACTGAGTTTATATCAGAGACTGTCTCTGTTCCCTTTACTAGGGAACCCACTTGGAGACTGAGTTGCCATGGGCTACATCTGTGCAGGGGTTCTAGGTTATCTCCATGCATGATCCTTGGTTGGAGTATCCATCTCAGAAAAGACCCCTGGGCTCAGATATTTAGCAAAGGACACTATCATCAGAACAAAATGACAGCCTACATACTAGGAAAATATCTTCACCAACCCTGTATCTGACAGAGAGCTAATATCCAGAATATATAAAGAAGTCAAGAAGTTAAAAAAGCAACAAATCAAGCAATCCAATTAAAAATGGGGTACAGAGCTAACTAAAGAATTCTCAATAGAGTAATATTGAATGGCAGAGAAACACTTAAATGCTCAACATCCTTAGTTATTTGGGAAATGCAAATCAAAAAGACCTTGAAATTTCACCTTACACCCATCAGAATGACTAAGATCAAAACCTCAAGTGACAACACATGCTGGAGAGGATGTGGAGAAAGGGGAACCCTCTTTCATTGCTGGTGGGATTGTAAACTTGTACAACCACTTTGGAATTCAATCTGGTGCTTTCTCAGACAATTAGGAATAGTGCTTCCTCAAGATACAGCTAAGAATTTTTAAAGGGCCAGCTGATTGGCAACTGGGACCCTTTACAGGGCCAGGCACACAATATAAATCCTACTGCAGGGCAGTAATCAAGACAGTGGGACTTTGTTCACTGCATAGCTTCCTTCTGATAACACACCTGATTCTAATTGCATGTGAACCTAATTATGCCCAATTGGCATAAAATGGTAAATAGGGAATGATTCCTTTTCAGTTTTTACTGAAGACTATTGCTTTATTGTTCATTCATCAAAACCAGTCTAGGTTGGATAAGACAATCTCTCTTGGTATGATGATATGTTTTGGGACATTATTGAATGAAAATGGAATTACTAAGGAATTGCTAAGAGAAACTGCTTATTTCCATCGTTTGAAGCACATGAATCTGAAGGTTGTACACTTGAGGGTCTGAGATTGTCAATTGTTTTCTAGGTACATTGATCATAGAGGAGTTTGTAATTGTTAGAAGTAGGGTGGATATAAAGCCCCAGCCAAGTGGAGTACAGGTTATTTAACTATTCCTTATGGTGGCTTGATCTATCTTTATATTCTAGAAGTACAAAAACCCAAGCAATTCAGTCCCACAAGCTCTGTTTGGGGTGACATTGATTCAGTTATGAGAACTGAGTACTCATGTTCTAAAAATACACCAGTTTTTATAGTGAGTAATTCGTTTGTGGAAAGTGATCACTCATGATCCTATTTCCCCCAAATCATTAGATTAGGAGCTGAGACTAACATGAATTTCCAAGAGTGCAAAAGCATTCACCCATACCTCTTACCTCTTCCTGGTTTTATTTAAGTTATTTTCAACCTTTGCTCCTTTTCTCCGTTGAACAGCGTGGCTGTAAATATCGATTGTAAACCTGACATGATCTAGAATCTCCTAGGACGCAATCCTTTAAGTGCAATGACGAGGGAGTTTTTAGACTGTTAATCAGTTTGGAAAGACTCAACCCACATGTGGATGGCAGAGTTCCAGGGGCTGAGATCCGGCCCTGAAGAAAAGAGATTGGGCGCTAGGCAGCAGCACTCACCTTTCCCTGCTTCTGGGTACAGCTACAATGTGACCTGACTCCTCTGCCATTAGAGTGTGAGTTAGGATAAACCCTTCTCTCCTTCAGCTGCTTCTGCCAGGCATCTTACACAGCAATGAGAAAGAAGTACTCCAGCTAGGGGTCACTGAGCATCCTGACTGATTTCTTAACTCCATTGCTTTCCTTTATCCTAGGACTTCCACCTTTTGCCCACAAGTGTTCTAGTGACATTACTTCACCCTATATTTAAGGTAAAATTTCATACTGTCAAGAATAGTACATTCTAAACAGTGACTTTTAGAAATTCCTATTTTAAATGACAAACTCTGTAAAACACCCATATTTATTCAGGGAAAAGGAGTATAATCATTCCCTTCCTTAGGACAGTAGTCTTGGGAATTATATTTCAAGATAGATTTCAGCTTTCCATGACTCGTGCTAGAAGCTTCATTTCCAGACCGGAAACAGCATTCTTGAACTGGGCCTCATCTTTCAATATTGTCCCTGAAGCCTGTGTGCTTCTTTGATTTGTGGACCACAGAGTATTTGTTTTAAAGCAACTTAGACTTGGAAGAAATAAATGTCTAGAAGCACTATTTTAGATTAAATGTTTGTTATTCTTTTCCAAGTTTATAAGTGAAATATACAAAATATGCAAGTTAAAAAATAAATACTTTCATAAGGAAAATAGAATGGTATGAAAACAATGATGAAAAAGATGTCATGAAGTTGAGAGGGGGTTGTGTGGGCTGGTGATACCAGAAAAGTTGGAGCAGAAAAGAGATGGGGGAGAGTGATGCTAACACAGTAGTCATGTATAGAATTAACAAAACAACAAACCAGCAAAAAAGAATAAGCTAAAAATTTCATTTCTTGGAACACAGAGATGGCTTAAAGCCCTTATATTCCTGAAGGGCTATTTTTTTCCCTGTACTTAGATCATTATGAACATTCTTTCAGTGATGTCCAGGTTTTTAGAAGAACTGTTGTAAGGTTTTCATAGCTGAATTAAGACTGAGGAGTCTTGTATGAGCCCTGATGTCCTTGAAGAAAAAAATAATGTAGTTAGATAAACTAAGATCTAGTTGGCCACAAATAATACTGGCTGATTACCATGACTCATTTACATCTCTTTTCTCATTCCTGCCTACTTCCTTGCATTTTACCTATACAATCAGCTTTTCTCTTTTGCCTTTGGACCATAAAATTAACTATTCACTCTTTTTTTTTAACTTTTATTAATTACACTTTGTTCATTTTGTATCCCCCCATAAGCCCCTCCCTCCTCCCCTCCCGGTATTCACTCTTATGCAGCTTGAGTACAGACGGAGGAGCAGAGTATGCCACTGAGTCACAGGACAGAAGAAAGAGCCATAGTGCTGGAGGCAAGAGTTGAGTGGAAGGTTCTCAGTGGGCAGAGGGTGCAGAAAGCATGCTTGTGTGGGCAATGTTAGTGTTTGTTTCATTGATGGCTCTGAGAACTAGGTAGATGTAAGAACCTTTTTATGTAACTGCAAGCCCTTGTATTTCATCTATTTGCATTGTAATATTATCCTTGCACTGAAAACATTGAACTCTTAGTGAATGTGCATGTCAGTGTAGCAAGAGCATGGGTTGTGTAAATTTTGCAGTCTGGCCACTAAGGGCATCCTTGGGAACTTATGTCCATTGTTGGCTCTGTTCATGATTCATTGTGAAAGACATTTTCATGTACAGCTGAGGACCCTGAGGTTCCTCATGAGTTTAATCATTTTGAAAAAATTGCAGAGCCACAGTTTCACATGAACCTCTAAATCAAATCCCAACGCTATTAAAATAATCTCCCTGCCTTGTTAAATTTGATAAGTTTTATTATTTGTCTTAGAATGTTATCACCCTCGCACATCTTTCTCACTCTCCCATCATCTCTGTGACTAACAATATTCTTATGTTCAAAAACATAATATATGGCTGGAGAGATGGATCAAGGTTTAAGAATACTTGCTGTTCATAGAGGGAACCAAGATTCAAATCCCAGCCCCCACATGGTGGGCTCACAACCACCTGCAACTCCACTTTCAGTGCTTTTGACACACTCTTCTGGCAGGCACACATGTGGTATGCAGACAAAATACGCATGCACATAAAATACAACAAACATTAAAAAACATAATAGGAAAAAAAATGTAATATATATTAAATGCTTAATTTTCTTTCTTCTGGTCACAATTGCTATCAAATGATAGAAACCAGGTTTTCATATATTTAATCAAAACTAGTAATTATCTAAATAAAAGAATGTATTCCATCCAGTAAATCCTCACCCATTGTGGTATTGCTGGAAGCACTTGAGGATCTTGGAGACAATGGGAAGATGATGGAGGGACTCAAAGAGCCTGGGAATGACAGGGGCAAGAGTTAAATGTGCCCTGAAAGAATGGCCTGTAGGGTTAGAGTGTCATATAAGAGGGATCAGAAGCTGGAAACAGCCCGGATGCCCCTCAGTGGAGGAATGGATGCACAAATTGTGGTATATCCACACAATGGAATATTACTCAGCAATAAAAATCAAGGAAATCATGAAATTTGCAGGTAAATGGTGGGATCTGGAAAAGATCATCCTGAATGAGCTATCCTAGAAGCAGAAAGATGCACACAGTATATACTCACTCATATAGACATATAATATAGAATAAACCTACTAAAATCTGTACACCTAAAGAAACTAATCAAGAGGGAGGACTCTTGCTAAAATTCTCAATTCCTATCCAGAAAGGCAAAGAGGATGGACATCAGAAGAAGGAGAAAAGAGGGAACAAGTCAGGAGCCTGACACAGAAGACCTCTGAAAGGTTCTGCCCTGCAGACTATCAATATAGATGCTGAGACTTATGGGCAACCTTTGGGCAGAGTAAAGGGAATCTTAGGAAAGAAGTGGAAAACAGTAAGATCTGGAGAGGACAGGAACTCCATAAGGAGAGCAACAGAACCAAAAAATCTGAGCACAGGGTCTTTCCTGAGACTGCTATTCCAACCAAGGACTATGCATGGAGATAACCTAAGACCCCTGCACAGATGTAGCCCATGGCAGTTCAGTATCCAAGTGGGTTCCATTGTAATAGGAACAGGGACTGTCTCTGACATGAACTGATTGGCCTGCTCTTTAATTACCTTCCCCAGAGGGGGAAGCAGAATTACCAGGCCACAGAAGAAGACAATGCAGCCACTCCTGATGATGAGACCTAATTGACTAGGATCAGAAGGAAGGAAAAGAAGTCCTCCCCTATCAGTGGACTTGGGGAGGGGCATGCATGCAGAGGGTGGAGGAAGGGAGGGATTGGGACAGGAGGAGGGAGGGTACCACGGGGGGGGGGGGGGTGAGATACAAAGTGAGTAAAGTGTAATTAATAAAGAAAAATAAAATTAAAAAAAAGAGGGATCTAGATCCATTGGTGGAGTGCTTAAGTAGCTCTCAAAAACCCAGGCAAAACGCATTCAAGCAACTGATTAGGTTTAAGTATTTTAAATGATTATGTTCCAATTCTAGCTAGATACAACTATCCCATATATGAAAAATATTTGTGTGAGGTAACAGATATATTTAGGGTTTTAAATACACTTTCCTAAACTTTTAAAAGGTTAAAATTTTGGACATTCCAAATTCTGCTTCAAAAGTAACAGTTAAGTTACTCAACAACACATATAACCGTGGTGCTGGTGCTTGTTATTACTGACCTCTCTGTACATTGATAATTCCTTGTGGTAAAAGTCTGAAAAAATGCAAATGTTAGAAAATTGCTTGACCAAGCTGCTGTCAGCCAAACCAAAATTATTATTAATAATGAACTTTCTCCAAAGCATACGTGTGTTTCTAATTATATTAAGAACACTGTTTAGGATTACAAATAATTAGAGCTGCACATTCTAAATAATGTCACGTTAATAATTAAAAGAATTAGACACTGGTCAACTAGGGAGTCCTGGTACATTGCTATTGTGCAATAAAGTAACTGGACTTTGCAAATTGTGGTCTAGGTCTCAAAGTATATACCTGATGAACCATTACACTAAGTAAATTAATATATGGGTGTTTGGATAGGAAGGCTTTGCTCAAGATTATGATCACTGAATTTATGCTAAGAAGGCATCACAGCGGGAAGAGGAAGGTATTACTTTTGATGTGGGATGGCTGGGAGGTTTGCTGGAGCCTCGGTGGGGTTTGTGCTAGTATCTGATGTACTCAAAAGCTCACTCACTACCTCTAATTGCCTGTTTCTTGTAGCATCACTACAATGTTTGGCTGAGTTCTTCCTTTTCTGGATGAAAAAAAAAGACTTTAATACCTTATTTCTGGGTCATGATTTTCAGCTACATAGAACAGTATATCCTTTTTCTTTCCATTTTTTTGTAGAGAATCTTTACCCTCCAATTTTCTCTGGAATGATGGTATATCCTCAGTTGTTCATACCTTTTAACTTCCAGCTACCCGAGCCTAAAATACAAATCTCATTCTTCAAATATGTATTAGAACTCTGTTTTCATGTTAACTTCACAGCCATGGATATCATTTGACATTTTCGTATACCTGTGTCATTACACCATCCCTTCCCCACTGTCTTCTTGGCCCTGCATTTCTCTGGCTGGTTCTCTGATTCCTCAAACTTATCCTCACGTATGCTTTCTTAACCCATGCATCCATCTCTAGTTCTCCCTTCCTTAAGATCTCTTCCTCCTCTTTCATGACCCCTTTCTAATTTCATGAAACACACACACATGCACAAGCACGAGCACACACACTCAGACATACTGCTCTGTTACCAGTTAAACACCAGAGGACACTTGCCTGTCTAGGGATGAAGAATGGGTTCTATGTGTGTTGCACAATGACTACAGATAACTCTATTAAGTACAACTTCTAGCTTGTTTTGTTTTTTATAAATAACATGTCCAGGCTATTGAAGCTATAGTTTACTAAAACTGCCTCTTTCTAACCAGGATAATATACAAATTGTTTCTACGTATGTTCACCATCCTCATTAATCTAAAGTAATGACAGAAATATTTCTTTGACCTCTCAGAAGAGATTTGTTAGAAGAAACATAGAATCTTAGAACTCACATCAACAATAACATCAGTGGGAAAATCAAACTAGAAATGAACTATCTTTTTCTGTAGGAATGCTGTATTCATCCACTGTTATTCCACTGGTGCCGAGGACAAGCTGAGTAAGAGTGGAGCTCAGACCTGGGGTCAGAAGTCCCATGAGATAACAGTGATTCGATGTCCACTCTTAGGTCCCTTTCTATAGAGTTGGACAAGTGTTCCCTTGCTCACCCTCCCAGCTCGAGTGCTGCAGGTTACAGGTAACCACAGGAGTCATATCTGAACACTGTAAACAAGGTGAAATGAAGAGGATAAAATGGGGGCTATGATAGGAGTTGATGAGCTTGTTTCTTTTTCTGAAAGATTGTTTGCCTTTTTCTTCTTGATAATGCTGATTTTTATTTTTGTTTGTTAGCTATGAACCCAGGGCGCTGTGCTTTCATGCTTCATTACCTGCTGTTAGTGTTGTTTTCAAATATTAGATAACACACTGTTTTTAATATCAAGAAATCTCACTTTTTCTTATTTGAATTATATTCACGTCCTGGGGGCTCAACCCTCTTAAAAGATGGCTAGTGATGAACACAGTCACCTTATACAGGAGCAGAACCACTTCATTTATGTAACTCTATTTGTTCATCTCTGTGGTGACAGAAAAGCAATAGGCCTACATTTAGATAGTCCCACTTAGAGCATTTTATTTATATTTGACTTATTGTTTAATTGATTGCTTGATTGGTTGGTTGGTTGGTTGGTTGGTTTTTCAGGTCAGGGTTTCTCTGCATAGCTTTGGTTGACCTGGACTCACTTTGTAGACCAGGCTGGCCTCAAACTCACTGAGATTTGCCTGCCTCTGCCTCCTAGAGTGTGGGATTACAGCACCCACATAGAGCTTGTCCACCTGCTTGGGCACCAGGCACGCATGTGGTGCGCAGACATACATTCAGGCAAAAACAAGTGCTTTTAACAACTGACCCAACTCTTCAGACCATAACATTAATTTCTTGTTTGATAACTACACAAATTTATGTAGTTCGTTCTGGCTCAACTAATTATTAATTTCACATTTAAGATGTGGCACCATGAAAAATAAACTTGGAACTGATCTGTTAATAAACAAGTCTAGAAATTCTTTCCCGTTAATATCTGACTTAGGTCTGTCATTGTTTGTGGTGGAAGAATGTGTAGAATTCAGCAGTCACTGCAGTGTTTGGTGTTGTGAGTGTTAAAATCCTTCTTTTATTCATGATTGGTGCTGGAACCTGTTCCTAGATGTATGCTTGACTCCTCCTGCACTCTTGGCTGGAATGGCCTGTGTGCAAAGGGCTGCACCGTCTTGTTATATACAGAAAGATGGCTGGCAGGAACACCATATTCCTTGCTCACTTCCTATTTCTTAAACAGTTCTCATTACAACTTTGTGTTCCCTGATATTTGCACCCTGCTCTCTGGATAGTCTGTTCCCCGATGACTGTCACTTTGCTGAACATCTGTGTACTTTTTAGTGTCAAGTCACAACATTTACTATGGGAAATTATGTCAGTAGTTGTTTGCTTTTTGTCCTTTTAGGCTTGATTTCCATAGAAGGTTTTATTTGTTCATAGAGACAGTTTTCTACTTACAGGCCATGCACAAATCCTGTGAACAGCCTCTGTCTACTGTAAAATACAAAAGGTTTAAAATGCGAAAGATTTTACCTGTTTTGTGATTTGTGACGACACAACTATATCCAAAATAAAATTGGATGTCAGATGGCAAGAAGCTATGGATACTTTTTATGAATCTGATTTCCATGTGAGTATCTATGTTTTGTTGTAGAAATATACTTACTTTAGGTTTAGACATAATGATTGCATTCAGAATGTGTGTGAATGCAGCTACCAAAATTTGGATATTAGACTACAGTCAGCTGCACTGGCGTAAAGCGCGAAACTGATCTGTTAATAAACAAATGTCTGAGCTACACATAATTCAAATCTAGTTCATTGAGCCTAGGGGGAAAATGATGCTGCATAGGAAATCTTCAAAAATATTCTCTGACACCCAGAGCCTTAGTGGTTTTTAACGGTAAGACGGGCATAGAAACAGCCACTGGTAGCATAGGAAGAAAACGGTGAGTAAAGCTGAGAAATACTTGAAACCAACGGCTGAGCAGAGAAAAAAAAAAAAAAAAAAAAAGAAAAAAAAGAAACCTGGTTGGGTGTGTCTCTGCTTCAAAAGTGAAGCCCTGGTCAAAAAAAAAAAAAAAAAAAAAAAAAAAGGAGAAACAGGAAGAACATCAATATGGTTGACAGACAGAGGATGGAAAGCAGACTTTATTCATTTATTTATCTTAAATTGCAAGAAGGAAATACCACAAGGTAAAGGGAAGATAATGAAAGGAAAACAAAACAAGTAAACCAAGTATACAGTGTTATCTATGCATGAAGGGACTAGACAGCCACTAAAATGTAAGATTTAACTTTCAAAGACATGTACCTATGTCTTTCTTTCCTTCTTCCTTCCTTCCTTCCTTCCTTCCTTCCTTCCTTCCTTCCTTCCTTCCTTCCTTCCTTCCTTCCTTTCTTCACTTTACATCCCTCTGGTCCCATCCTTCCTCCCTTCTCAGTTCTCCCTCCCTCCCCTCTCCCTCTTCCCCCTCCCCCTTTCCTCAGAAATGGGGAACTCCCTTTGACATCTACTCCAGTAGATGTCAAATGAACCCACATGAAACCTAAGCTGCCCACCTGCTGCATCTTTGTAGGAGGGCTAGGTCCAGTTTCTGCATGGCCCTTGGCTGATACTTTAGTCAGAGCAAGCCCCTCTGGGCCCTGGTTAGTTGGCACTGTTGGTCTTCTTGTGGAGCTCCTGTCACTTCCAGGTCCTTTTCTCTTTCTCTCACTTTTCCTCAAGACTCGGTAAGAATGTTTGGCTGTGAGTCTCAGCATCTGTTTTGAGGCACTGCTGGGTAGAGCCTTTCAGAGGATAACTCTGACAGGCTCCTGTCAGCAAGCTTAGCAGAGTATCTTTTGTTTAGGAGGTTTGAGATTTACCAAAATTAATCTACAGACTTCTGCAATACCATCAAAATACCAATGCAGTTCTTTGCAGACCTTGAAAGAACAACTCTAAACTTCATATGGAAAACCAAAAATCTCACAATAGCTAAAACAATCCTATACAATAAAAGATCTTCTGAAGGTATCTCCATCCTTGACTTCAAGCTATACTACAGAGCAATAGTAATAAAATCTTCATGCTACTGGCATAGAAATAGACTGGTTTATCAATGGAATCAAATAGAAGACACAGGAATAAACCCACATACCTGTGGTCACTTGATTTTTGACAAAGGGGCCAAAACCATACAATGGAAAAAAGACAGCATCTTCAACTAATGGTGCTGGTCTAACTGGATGTCTACACGTAGAAAAATGCAAATAGATCCATATTTATCTTTCTGATCCTATATGTTTTTTCACAAAACACCCCTTAATGGTGGAATTATTTAAAACAAGTTACTTTACACAATAACTAAAACAGGACAGTTTGTTTATAGAATTTTACTTTTAAAAAGAACTGTAGGTAATAGAAATACATTTCAAATTAACTTTATCTCTTACCCCCCGTATCTTACTATAAGAAAATCAAAATACAAACAAACCAAAACAGTGAAGTCTCTAGATGAAGGAAGTTCCCTCACAGTGGCTGAAATGCTGCTTTTATGCCTGGAGTAAAAGGGTGCGGAGAAGGTTGTTAAATTGTGCTCATGAAATCATTAAAACACTGTTTGCTTGAATAGCTGTGCTGGCTGCAAATCTGAGACATTTTCTACTGCTTATGGCCATCACCTCTCATGCTCTGTAATGCTGGAATACTGGAGAGAGTGTAGCTCCATGTCCAGATGTATTTTCCACCAAACGCTTTTTCACGGTACTTCTTTCAGTTCACTATCCTATCTTTTACCACAACATCCAAGAGGTTCCTTCGCATTCTCCAGCCAAGATAACTAAAGCTTTTTTCCTCCCTCATATCACATTTAATCACACTTACACTTAGTAAGTTTATTTTCCCATCTGCTGTAAACAAAACGCATTTATGTCGGCTCAGGGTCTTCTAAGGGTGGAATAAAGGTATTTACCATCTTCCCGAGAGAAACATCAGAATTGCAGCCGCCGTGGATTCACCGCCCTGAGTGCAACACTAGCCCTCATCCTGCCTCTCTCCCCTGAGGAAACCAGCACCAATTTTCCTTGTGCCACTGCCGGTTTCATAGAACCCTCAACTCAACATAGCAGTGGCAGGACTCGCTTCCCTGGAAATTTTTTTTTCAGCAGTGTCCAGATCCTAATGCATCTGAAAGGCTAATTTTATTTGAATAAGAAGATAAATGAAAAAAATCTCTCAGAGACTGGACAGGGATGTTGCAATCCCTAAACCGCCAAGAACATGAAATGTTTTAAGAGATGGAAAGAGTGACATTGGTCAGAGTCATCTCACTTCAGTTCAAGTTGAGCAGCTCTGAGTGTCTTGCTTGCACTGTGTTCTCCCTGAGGAGAGGAAGCTTACGGAAGTAAGGCTTCCCTCCCATTGTTCTTAGCTTTTGATTTGCCCAGAGAGCAGATTGGATGATTTCCTACCTACACTTTAATTATCATGAAAAACTGAGGTCCTCAGTCCTCAGCTGGTTTTTTCTTCCACACCTTCATAGGTATATGTTCCAACCTAAACTTTTATGCCCAACAGACTTATCTGTGGGCCACTAAGAATTAGATTCCTTTAAATAAAAGTAACGTCTGAAAGGGAAAGTATGAGTCCCCAGACCCTAGACACTTATCCCCGTTTTCCACTCAGGGTGGAGTTAACAGGAGGAGAATCCGAAGGTTTCTATTGCCACCAAGAACTGAACATGTTTCCTGGATAGAGGACTCTATTTGATGCAGTTACTTTTGGATTAGGCACTTCCTATAGCAATTCTCTCATATATTAATAGTTCTCCCAGTCTGAAAATAATCTGAGAAGGATATCATTACACCCTTGGAAATCTAATGATGGACAAACGAGAAGGAATTTGGAATCAGCTACCCTCTGGACAAGAGCTAAACAGATTTCCTTTAGTGATTAAGTTATGGACTCCTTAGCTTTTCTGCACTGTTTATGGATATTTATGGATAAGCTTAGCATGCATACTGGGCCAATGTAATGATACCCTAGAAGGCTTGACAGCAGTGGCAAAGCTCTTAGGTGTTAGTAACAATGGGGACCTAAAATGGTCTTTATCTTACAGTGGTTTTTCACACAAGAAGAGTGAGGGATTTCTGGTGTCCCACATGTTTTGAGGCTTAGAACAAATGGCACCAGGAAGTGGATGAGAAGGATCAGATTCCTGTGAGGTTACCATTCAGTTGCTCAATATTTATCAAACCAGTCTATGGACATGGGAGGTGTTTCCATATTCTGGTGTCTGCAATTTCTCTATTGATTTTCTCAAACTTTTGTTGTGCAAGTCTTTCACTTGCTTGGTTAGAGTTATTCCAGCTTATATTTTTTCCTTTTTTGGATGCTATGAAAGATGCTGTTTTCTGATTTTCTTCTCAGTCTGTCGTTGAAAGTTACTGATTTTTGTGTGTTCATTTTGTAAACCCTTACTTCGATGAGTGTACCTATCTGCTGGAAAAGTTTCCTGGTAGAATCTTTAGGTTCTCTTATTTTAAAAATTATATTATCTGAAAATAAAGATACTTTGACATCTTCCACTTCTATCTGTATCCCTTTTATCTCCTTCAGTTGTCTTATTCCTCTAGCTAAGACTTGAGGTACTCTGTACTGTATAGATATGGAGAGAGTGGACACCCTTGTCTTACTCTAAAATTTAGTGGAACTACTTTGAGTTTCTGTCTAGTTTGGTGTGGCTTGTTGGTTTGTTATAAATTGTCTAATTATGTTGAGATATTTGTTTCCTAATCCCTCTAGACCTTTTCTCATGAAAGGGTGTTGGATTTTGTCAAAAGCCTTTTGTGCATCTAATAAGAAGATCATGTGGTTTTTATTTATTTGTCTTTTCATGTGGTAGATTATGTTTATTGATTTACATATGTGGAACCATGCCTACATCTCTAGGTTGAAGTCAACTTTATCTTGGTCGATAATCTTTTTTATGTGTTCTTAGATTCAATTTCTAAGTATTTTATAGAGAATTTTTCTATCTGTGTTCATAAGGGATTTTGGTCAACAAATTTCTTTTTCCGTTGAATCTTTGTATGGTGTTGATATTAGGGAAACAATAGATTCATAAAAAAGAATTGGGAAATGTTCCTTTGGTTTATGCTTTGCAGAATTATTTGAGGAGTATTGATATTAGCTCTTCTTCAGAGATCTGACCCTGGGCTTTTATTTGGGGGAAAGGGGTTGGGAGGTTTTTAATTACTGCTTCTATTTCAATAGTAGTTATGGTTCTTTTTAAATAGTTTCTTTTGACATGATTTAATTTAATTTAATTTTTTTTAATTTTATTTTTTTCTTATCAGTTACATTTTATTAACTCTGTATCCCACCCGTGTCCCGATCCCTCATTCCCTCCCAGTCCCTCCCTCCCTCTCTCCCTCGTCTCCACCGTGACCCTTGCCAAGTCCACTAATAGGAGGGACCTCCTTCCCATTCATCTGATCCTGTTTTATCAGGTATCTTCAGGACTGGCTGCAAAGCTCTCCTCTGTGGCCTAACAGGACTGCTCCTCCCTTGGGGGGTGGGGAGGCCAAAGAGCCAGTCATTGAGTTCCTGTTAGAAATAGTCCTTGTTCCCCTCACTATGGGAAA